GACACCAAGCTCAAACCCTATTCTAAAATGGAAGAAAAATCAAGGTTTTTTTTTGTTTGTTTGTTTTTAACTGTGTTAACTATCCTATTTGGAAAGGTGAACTGAATGTGTCTTGTGTCATTAGGAAATACTTAAATGGTATTTATTGTATTTGCTGTATTGGTAGCCCAACGTAGTCTTCTTTTAAAACTCCCCATAGTATTTGGTCCATATTGCCTGCCAATTAACCCAGCATAATGGAAAGATACGTAGAAGGGCAGGGAGCCGGGACTTCAGTCCTGGCTCTACTGACTTGCTCTCTGGCTTTGTGCGAGTTAAAACCTCCTCTAAAAATCAAACAGGTTGAGCCCTGGCTGGTTTGGCTCAGCAGTTGGAGCGTCAACTTGCGGACGTTCCTGCTAGGGGCATGTACAAAAAAAAAATCAAACAGGTTGAACTAGACACTCTCCAAGGTCCCTTCCAGCTGTAATATTCAGGATTCAATAAGAGCTTAGAAAATGTTCTAGTTACACTACAAGTAAGAGCCCCGGTACAATGTTGACACTGGTAAAAAGAAGGAAAAGAAACAGAGTGAAAATAAATACCAAGTAGAAACGATAGAGCTGTTCTCGGGTACGGAAAATTTGGGAGACCCAGGCCCTCGTTGGAGATGGGAATTTAGAAGTATTTGGCTTTAAGGAAACTCATCTGTAATAGATCGAAAATAACATCTATGATATGAGTGATGATGATGAGATAGTATGTATATAAAATGCTTTCCTATAATGCCTATTAGTTGGTAAGTAGGTTGTAAATAGTAGCTACTGTTATAAATAAATAGAACTAAGTGTTTTAAGTGCCCACTTTATGAAAGGACCCGAGGTTTATACTTTAAAAGAAAAATTATTTATTTAATACTCATAGCAATATTTCTGTTACATAGATGAGGAAAATGAACCTTAGAAAGGCAAAATTAGTTCATGCATTTATTCGTTCTTCTAGTTCATTAATTCAATAAGCATATGACCTTCTGCTATGTGCCAGACACTGTGATAGGAGCTGAGAATTCACAGACGTGGGCTCTCCCCTCAGGGAGTTCAGTCCAGGGCCTCACAGCTGGTAATGATAGATAGTATTTAGTGAGCACCTACTATGTTCCAGGTACTGTTCTATGCACATTGTATTGACTCAAATGAATTAACTTATTGAATTCCCATAACTGGGAAAAACCATTTGACAAATGAAGAAACTAAGGCAGAGGGATGGTAAGTAAACAGCCTGAGGTCCCACAAGCAGGAAGTGACAAAGCTGGGATTTAAGTTGAGGCAGACAGACTCCAGAATCTGAGTTCTTAGCCACTTCACTAGGGCTACCTTTTAGCAAGTGATTTAAAGTCACATCTCTGATTGCAGAGGCCCTTACACCAGGATGCATGTATGTCTCCAAATGCCCCCTTCAGACTGCGTTTTCTTTAGGCTTTGTCCTTTGAATCTATGGCCTCACCTCCTTTGATTCTTCAAGGCTAAAGATTCCTTTTGACTTTATCAGAAAACAGGAGAGAAGGTGGGACACCCCCTTTCCCCCATTAGCAGGGAGTAAGTAAGTAGTTGCCGAGGCTGGGAAAGAAAATCTGGTAGCATCAAATAAGGTTCACACCTGAACAGACTGAGAGGGTTCTGGCTTTAGCCAGGTCAGATCTAATTCTTGTTCTGAAAATGAGGGCATTAAAATGTTTTTGGACTATTTGAGAAAGCAGCTTTTGTTCTAACTCCTTGCTGCTTGGAGGCTAGGTACATCCAGATGTCTGTGGGGCCAGGCATGTAGCCAAGTGAGAGAAGTCACCTGGGTATACTAACATGTTTCCTCTCTCTTAATGCTACTACAAGGAAAACAATAGCACAAGGGCAACTGTTACTTGGCTCTTGTATCAGAGAGACAATAGGGAATGATAGGGACTGGGGCAGACTCAGAAAATGTCTGAAGAGGAAGCCATTCCTTTGCTCTGGTTGATTGATGACATGAAGCAATGGGGACCTATTTTCTGAAAGGAATGGTAATCTAGATTTTTATGGAAAAAAAAAAAAAACCTACATTTTTTACTACTATTTAACAACTATAGCAACAATGAGACACTATTGTGGGCCGAGTAAATGTTTCTGCAGGCTAGACTCAGGATGCACGCCTCAGTAGGCAAGCTTTGGGCAAGATCCTCTCTTTCAGGAGACTTTGGAGAGAAGCTGGCAGTATTTAGTGTCTGGGATGAAGCAGGGAGGAGAACTAGGGGAGAAAGCCAGGAGACCAAAGACGAAGCAAAAACAGTCACATGTGACAATGACTGTTGTGCTGTATGTGCCTGAGGCTCTCCCTTGCAAGAGTAAACAGAATTTGACCGTTTTTTTTTTTTTGTTCTTCTCTTTGAGGCAGACAAATATAAGCAGTCATGACTTGTTCTTACTACTTGGGCAAGGATATGAAAAAGGGCAAAGCCAGCCCACAACTTCAGAGGCCAAATCCAGGGTCAGTTTTCTCTCCTCGAGTTAACATTAACCTTTAGGTAAACGGGGCCGCCACTCCTCAAGGGCTTGGTAAACAGGAGCCTTGCGGAGGGCTAGGGGCGTGGAGCTGGCTGTGTACCTGGAAAGAAGGGAGCAGCCCAAGGTCAAGATTGCATGTAACTTAGCCCTCTTGAACTTTGCCAAGAATGTGCCTGTTCACCGGGGAAACCGACTCTCAAGGCCCATGTTGCATCAGTGGTACTGAGCACAGCTCTTTCTCCCCCGGCTCAGGGGTCACCACAGAGGGACTTGGATGTAAGTGGCAGTCCTCTTCAGCAAGAGAAACAAGTGGCAATCCTTGGCTGACTTAATAGTTCTGCCTTCCTCTTATGGGTGGTATGAGCATTCAGTGAGATGGTATCTGTGACAATTCTTTGAAAAGTTCACATATGGGTTTATTATTAAGTTATTCATAGGTTAGGGCCCTCAAAATTTTGTGTGGGAAAGGAGCAGAGAGAGGTGGAAGGGTGTAGTAATGTTAAAAACGTGGCCATGAGGTGTAAAAGTTGTCTAGAATGAGCAAGCCTGGGTACAGAGGAGAGGTGAGTCCCAAGAGACAGTGTGACTCCGGTGAGCCTGCTGTAATTGCATATTGTTGATTGTAGTCCAAACTGTTGGGATCCCTCTGGGAAATGACATGGTGATATAAAAAAAATAAATACATAACATACATAAGCTACAGAATTTTTTTTTTTTTTATCCTCACCTGAGGACATTTTTCAATTTTTTGTTCAGGTAGAGTGGGAGGGAGAGAGGAGCAGAGAGAGAGAGAAACATCGATGTGAAAGGGACACATTGAGTGGCTGCCACCTGCACTACCAACCAGGGCCGGGGACAGACTGCAACCGAGGTACGTGCCCTTAGTGGGAACCAAACCCGGGTCTCTCTGGACCGCAGGTCGACGCTCTAACCGCTGAGCCAAACCGGCCAGGGCTAAGCTACAGAATTTTCATAGTCATTAACATAGTAATCTTGGTTCTGGATTTATATCTTACGAAAATAACCCTAAAGCCTTCTGTACATGAAAGTGTGCATTTTAGAGCTACTTATATAATGATAAAATTGGAAACAACTTACATTGTTAATAGGGCAATAGCTGGTTAAATTAAAACACACTCAATGGGGTATTATTTACACAGCCATTAAAAACTAGAAATAAGTCAACTTGGCCACAACCAAAAGGATGTTGATACGATATTAAGTGGGCAAAAAGCAGATACAAAATTCTTTATATGTTATGGTTACAGTGATATAAGAATAATCATGCTTAGAAATCAAGAATAAAAGAGAATACACAAAAAGGCCAAAGTTGCCGTGTCAGGGTAGAAAAGCTAAAGGTAATTTCTCCCTCTACCCTTTCTTAAACTTTCTGTAATGTTATAGTATTTGAAGAATAGTGATAATAAATTAGAATACATTATAATAAAGATATTATTGCTATTTTTTCAAAAAGTCGGAGAGTATGTGAGGGAAGAACAGGTAGTAAGTGGCAAGAGGACAGCAGGCATCAAAGGAGAGGGACTCAAGTGGTGAGGTCGGCAGGGTTTCGGAGGTGAGGGGATGAGGGGAGAACACCAGAAACAGGCTTGATGGCCATGGAAGTCTTGGATGTGAAGGGGATATAAATCAGGTAATTGAGCCTGGGCAGTTCTGGGTTACCCAGAGGCAAACTAAGCACATTCCTAAGGATTAGTGAAGCAGGGGTATTAAAAAACATTTTAAAAATAATTTGATATTTGAAATTCAAGCAAACATCCAAGAAGTAATCATGGGGGGTGGAAGAATGAGAACTTGACTGGACTTCCTTATAGGTACTTCATGGTTGGTCTTGTTTCTACTTAGAATGGGATGGTGGGGGTCTCTGAAGCTCTGCCTTGGGCCCTGGGCTTGAATCTTGTTCAGCCGTTCAGTCGCCTGCAAGTCAGTTCTGCACTCCATGAGCTCGTGCTGCTTCCTTTCGGGCCAGAGACTGCACGCGGGAGGTGTCCTGCAGTGCCGAAACTGTGAACAGACCTCCTCAAAGCGCCTCTCTGCACCCACTGAGACCGACTCCCTCAGCCGTCTCCGACACTCACTCACTTTAGTAATGAGATTGTTTACCAGGTGGTGCCATGCGTAGCATCTCAGTCTGTTCCTGAAAACCCAGGAGGGTACAACCAAGGCCAGGGTTGGCTGAGTGAGTCCCTCAGGTTATAGTCAGGGGCAAAAAACCTTGCACCAACCGTGGAGATAGGGTGGTATTTTATAGACTGCAACCTGTTGCTTGGTCTCAGGGTGCTGATGGACCACCCCCATGAGCAAGGGAGGGGGTCCCCCTGCAGGTGGATCCAAGTAATTGCCGCTTTCTCTGCCCTCTTTCCAGGGGGGGCCAATATTTCCCCAGAGTCTTCTCCCAGTCCCAGGAGATGCTCCAGCATCAGCCTTTGGAAGGCAAGGAAGAAACAGAGTCAGAAGAGAGGGAGGACAGTTCCGCAGCAGAGCTGAAAGAAATCGTCACCCTGGCTTTAGTAAGAGAGAACACCGCGGAGAAAAACGGGCTTCAGGATGGCCAGCAGCAAGGCAAGACGAAGAGGAAGAAAAAGAGGTTAGGATTGAAAGATGGGGGATGGGGATCCATGTTGGCAAGAGCAGAAGGGTCCTGGGAGGAAGGGGGCCTTGACTGCTAATGGTGGGGAAAGGAGAAACTGTCAACATCACACCACCTTTGGTTCATATAAAAAAAAAACCCTCACTTTTAATGATCTGTTTTATAGAATGAAATAATGGTGCATGTAATCTAAAATCACACCTTGCTCTAATCTTCATTCTATTTATGTTCAGACTGCCTTTTATTTTTAAAAATTGTGTGTGGCAGGTTAGGTTTCGTGCCTCCCCACTTGGGACGGGGTGTTCCTGTGTGTAGTCTCTTGTTCCGGCAGGTGTGTCTGTCTCTGTCTTGCTGCTTTTCCTTTTCTCTTTTCCAGATGATTGGTGATCAATCTATCCAGCTGCCGATATGAGAGTGGTGAGCATCTGCATTCAAGGAATCTGCGATAAGGACCCACTGGATTCCCACAAAAGGCTGGGAAGGGTCATGCTTATGTATTTCTGAGGGTGAAATAGAGTTCCAAATCCTGTTCTTTGCTTCTCAGCTCATTTAACTATGTGAGGAGGTTGGAAAGCTCATTCCGAGAAAGTACAGATTTGACCGAAATGATTTGTACTTCAATTATTCATAGTTCTTGTATATGGTTATTAGGGGGTGTGGTTGTAGAGAAGGCAGCTATTGCTACAATCAGTGACTCTTTTAATTAATTAATTGATTTGTAATCCTCACCTGAGGATATTTTTCCATTAATTTAAAAAAAAAAAATTTTTCCTTTATTGATTTTTAGAGCGAGAGGGAGGGGAAAGGGAGAGAGAAACATTGATGAGAGAGAACATCAATTGGCTGCCTTCTACATGCCCCCCACTGGGGATCGGGCCCATAACCTGGGCATGTGCCCTGACCAGGAATCGCACTGGGGACCTCTTGGTGCATGGGTCAAGGCTCAACCACTGAGCAACACCGGCCAGGCATTTTTCCATTGATTTCTGGATAGAGTGGAAGAGAGGGAGGGAGAAAGAGAGAGAAACATCGATGTGAGAGAGACATGGATTGGCTGCCTTGCACACAACCCCAGCTAGGGGCCGGGGATTGAACCTGCAACTCAGGTATGTGCCCTTGACCATGAATCAAACACGCAACCCTTTGGTCCATGGGCCGATGCTCTAAATGCTGAGCTAAACTAGCCAGGGCCAATGACTCTTTTTAGAGCACAAGTTCCAAACTGGCTGTCCCTGAGCTGGAGATGACCTGCAGACCTACTTTGTACGACAGAGCAGAGTGTTGTCGTTATTTTAATTTCAAATTTGGATGCTTTCAGCTGGTCCCCATTCTCCTGGTCACTACAGGCACTTTCTTTCCAGGCTTTTGAAGGCATTTATTTGATTTTGTGTTGGAATCAGCACCGTTATCAGTACTAACAAGGACGGGAAGAAGGATGTGACAGCATACATGTGGTTTTGAATTACATTGTGTACTTTTTTTCTGTTAATTTACCTTACAATTAAGCTAGGCTCTGGCTGATGTTAAGGATTTAGGTTTATAGTCCCTGAACATTCAGTGCTTTGTGTTGGGGGGAAAGCCAGAGGTCTACTTCCTGACAAGGGGAAACCAGGGTGGATACAACATTCATCCCAGATAACCCTCTGTGGGGTTATGGGGCACAGGCTCTGTTCCTTAATAGCTTTCAACTCTGTTCCTTCCTCGACAATGATGTGTCCAGGCAGGGCGAGATGGCTTAGTCCCAAGGAGCCTAGATGTCTCACTTCAGTGCTTGGTCTGGGAGCCCCTAGAAACCTAACCTCCTCACTTTATGCTCCTGTCCCACTTCCTGGGCTGACAGGCCTTTCTTCTCTAACCCCACGGCAGTGCGGAGGGCCGCTCGACAGTTTGGCCTTCGAGAGGGAGGGGAAAACGACGACTGGACTCTCTACTGGACTGACTACTCAGTGTCGCTGGAGCGAGTGATGGAAATGAAAAGTTACCAGGTACCTAGGTCAGAGCTGGTCCTCAGCGTAAGTGTGCCACCTACCCTGTGGGGCCCCCACTGTCCCCCGAGGGGATCTCTTGGGTACGCTCATGTCTCGTTGTTCATGAATTCCGACTTCCTTTGCAGAAAATCAATCACTTCCCAGGGATGAGTGAAATCTGCCGCAAGGACTTGCTGGCCAGGAATATGAGCCGCATGTTGAAGCTGTTCCCTAAAGATTTCCACTTTTTCCCTCGGACCTGGTGCCTTCCTGCTGAGTGAGTACCTAGCTGTGCTCCTTCACCACTCCCCACCCCAGTTCCACGTTCCATAGGCTCTCCCCTCTCTCCTGTTCAGGAAGAGAAGGGATGTAGGGTGTGGCCAAGGTTGAGAAAACACTAGGCTCTGCCTATAAAATTAGGGGACATTTAGGGGCTGGGTGCCTTGAAGCCTGTGCCTGCTGTTGGGATGAGAATTTGTTCTGACCTTCAAAGCTGTTGATTTTGAATTTGTTCCAACCTTTTAACTGTGCAGTTTGTGAAAATTTAAGGACCATAGGACTTCTGCAGAGAGGGCGGTAATGGTTAATGCCCAGGTTAGGAGCAGGGAGGAATGCCCACCCTCTGTCCCAGGACAGTGCCATGGATGGCGGTCAGCCTTTCCCCATCTCTGGTCTCTCTTTATCCACCTTGAAACTGGACATCCATTCCTGGTACATAAACAACTCTGGACCACCCACCAAGAAACAGGAGAAATGTGAGATCACATGAACATGACCTGGGCACAATCTGGTGTTTGAGATGAGGTGGAGGGGGCAGAGAGTGTCACCATCAGAATTATGCTCACATGGCAGGGGCTCGAGAGAAATCCTTCTCCCCTCTTTGCCCAGTGCTTTCCCGAACCAAGAGCGCCAGGGTTCCCAGACTTTCCTCGCTTGTCTGGAACAACTTTTGCGGCTTAGCAGCAACTTAGAAGGAAATGTGTTTGCCATGAGGTCAACAGGTGCCTCCAGACTTCATAGCCACTGAGGACCATTGAGTTAAGTGACTTCTCCAGTGGTCACAAGGCTCCTTTGAGTTAAAATGCAAAACAAGAAACATAGCAAGACTGAGATCTCTAGTCCACTAAATTTCTTTCTTTCCTCTGAATATACTTTCTTCAAAGTATGTTCAAAGATGGTATTTGTTCTCCCACACTCTGGCTGGAGTGGAGATGTTGCAGATGAGGCCAGAGTGGGGCGAGAGACTGACTGATCGAAGGTCACGTCATGGACCTGGCCCACACTCAGAACTCCAAGCCTCCCCGCTGCAAACCCAGGAAAGCACACTCCTTGGCCATGGCTGACTTTATGGGCTGTGCAGTATGCGTCAGCGCCCTGCACGCATTGTGTCATGTACACCATAGGTGTCATTATCTGCATTGTGCAGATGATGGAATTGAGGCTTACAGAGGTCAAGTCCTTGCAAAGGGTGGCACACTGGTAAGTGGTGTCGCCTCGATTTAAATCCAGGCCTGAATTCTCTCCAAAGCCCATCTTCTCCCCATTGTGTGTGCGTTACTGCTCTCCTATCATCAGACCTCTGGGCGTCTGTCAACTCCAAGGCTTTTGACACATTAGATCGTTGTTGTTTTTTTTTTAAATAAAGAGCTAGCCTTCTTTTCTTCTGTTCCCTAACTAAAAGTATATCTTGTTCCCTCCCTGTTCTGGTAGCTGGGGAGATTTGCAGAACTACAGCAGGTCAAGAAAAAATAAGACATACATCTGTAAGCCGGATTCGGGCTGCCAAGGGAGAGGTATATTCATCACCCGGACGGTGAAAGAAATCAAACCAGGGGAGGACATGATCTGTCAGCTCTATATTTCAAAGGTACTTCCTCATTGTGGTTATTTATCCCACAGCAACCTCAGGCTGTAACTCCACGGGACTGAATGTGAAACGAGGGAATGCAGGGTAGGGGTGTGGGTGAAGTCGAGTTCTGTCTTCTGCCTTGGACTTTGTCAGACTGAGCCTTCTGATCAGGGATGTGACATGTGCCTGGGCCAGAGTGTCCTTCATCCCTGCACCCCTGTCCAGTGGTCTGGTCTTATCAGGCTGGAACCTTGCTTCCAACAGACAATAGCTGGGTGAGCATCTTTGGTGTGTGGAGGCCCCAGCTCATTGAGGAGAGGAGAGTAGTCCTGGAGAGAGAATGGTAATCAGCTTTACTCCATGACTGGAGGCCAGAGGTCACAGTGGTTTAGCCCATTGCAGGAAGGGAGCCCTTAGAAGTGTCCATGCAGGTCAGCATTGCAGGGAGAACTATAGAACTATTACAGAACTACAATAATAATATAGCCCTGGATAGTGACAACATGTTCTTTTAAATAATATTTTTTTCTTTATTGATTATAGACAGAGAGGGAAAGAGAGAGAGAAACATCGATGAGAGAGACCATGATTAGCTACCTCCTGCATGACCCCCACTGGGGATTGGTCCCATAACCTGGGCATGTGCCCTGACCTGGAATCGAACCTGCGGCCTTTTGGAGCATGGGTTAACACTCAACCACCGAGCCACACCAGCCGGGCGACAACATGTTCTTTGTCACAGGACTTTTTAATGTTATTTTGTTTAGTAAACAGGAGTTCTCTTGGAGGTATTTCCTCATGCCATTAGATAGAATAGGAAACTGAGGCACAGTGGTTTAGTGACTTCCAAAAGGTCATGTGGCAGGTCACTGAGCTCAAATCCCCTGCTCCTGGTCCCCAGCCTTGGCCAAGTCTGCACTCTGTAGTAAGAGGCAATGTTGGAGCTGACGCCGTGAAAACTAGACAGGGCACTAATGATCCTCAAGTCCAAATTCCTCCTCCGATGCTTGTGTGACTTCTGTTCTCTCCTCCAGCCCTTTATCATTGATGGGTTCAAGTTTGACCTACGGATTTATGTGCTAATGACATCCTGTGACCCTCTCAGGATTTTTGCATATAATGAAGGACTGGCCCGCTTCGCCACGACCTCTTACTCCCACCCTTGCACCGACAACCTGGTGAGCTCAGGGGACATGCCACCTTACCTTCCTCCCTTAGTGTATAAAAAAAATTCCTGCCTAAATCCACGTTCACAAACACTGTGGATTTGGCTGCCATTTGCTGAACATCTACCCTGTGCTGGGTTGCATATATTCTTTCCCTTAGCCCTCCCAAGAACCCTCAGAAATAGGGATGATCACCTTTTTTTTTTTAATGGAGAGGAGATGAAAACCCAGAGTATTGGGACTTGTCCAAGGTCACAGAGCTAGGAAGAGGTCAGGATGGGCTCAAGGCCTGACCTGTCTGACTGCAAAGCCTGTGCCACAGTTCCACACCCCTGAAGTGTCCCTCAGGCAGGGCACCACCCCATCTCAGGAGGAACTGGAGTTTCTTATACTCCGGCTGTAGGATACCCCTTCCACTTCTGTTTTGCCAGTTTCAGTAAGCTGTGAGACTTCCCCTTTCTTCTCCATCTCTTTAAGCCCCAGGGGCCTCGGGAGGAAGTGGGAGGCCTGCCCTTCCTCTGACCCCACAGATTATGTCTCTTCCTCCAGGATAACATCTGCATGCACCTGACTAATTATTCCATTAATAAGCACAGTTCCAATTTCATTCGCGACGCACACTCTGGCAGCAAGAGGTAAGCAAGTGGCGTCACTTCTTTTCTTCCCCCGCCGGTCTCGGAGCTGCTCTCTGGGATCTACCCAAACTCTGGCAGTCCCCATCGGTGTTTCCATCTTGGGTCACATGCTCTCAGAAAATATTTCTCTGCCTCTAAACCTAGAGCAGACTCCTTAGTCTCTGCCCTCTGGATGTTAATCATTAAAAGAAGGCCACATCGTAAACCCCAGGAGGATGGGAGGAGGAGAGATAAACATGAACTGTTTCCCCAGCAGGGTACACACACACACACACACACCAAAACATACTCTTGGTACAGTTGGCCCTTCTGACATTTCCAAACCAACAGATATGTACTGGTTGTTGGTCTTCCATGGGAAAGGGACATGCCAGGCCGTTGTTCCTACGCTGTGGTTCCCTGGGGTGTTGCTCCAACAGAGATTGTCAAATGATGTATCACGACGTCTATCTAGCTGGCTTTCAGATTCCCCAGGAGAGGGAGGAAAATGAGAGGAATGCATGACTCTCTTCCCAAGCAGCTTTTATCTGCATGCGAGCGTCTAAACCTGTCTCATTTGAGTTTTAAGGAAAAGGGGGACTGAAGAATGTGAACATGACCAGACAAAGTGGAAAGAAAAAGGAAGTATTTATGGAGGCTTCCTGTGTGTTAAGCCTGAACTGGGTGCTTTGTATGCAGTTTTTTCCCCATTGAATCTTTGCAACACTATGGCAGAGGCATTATAATCTACCCTTTGTGGGTGGAGAACTATGAGTTAGGTGCCATCTCCGTTTTACAGGTGAGGAAACCAAGTCTCTGAGAGGTAAAGGAAGTTGTCCAAGGTCACGCAGTTCTAAATGCTCCAGCGGGATAAGTAGGGAGGTCTGTCAGAGTCCAAGGCACACGCTCCGTCTCCTGCACCAGATTCAAAGGGCTGATAAACAGGCAACCTGTTTGGCTTCAGAGCATCAGAAGGGCACGGTGCATGGGGAAATTTCACGACACCCTCCGTGGCAGAGTTCCAAAGAGCAAATGGAAAAGTACTAGGTTGAGCCTGCTTGAAGAGGACGTGTCGGCTGGGTGGAGGTAATCTCCCTTGTTCAGGAGGTGCCAGCCACCAGTCTTGCCCAGAGCCCTGCTGCCTCGTCTCCCCACTGGACTGCGGGCACCAGCTGAGCCTCCTGTGCTGCTCTAGCCTGCGAGGCTGCCAGTCCCGCTCTGGCTTCACCAGCTGAGGCACCTTGGGGATTCCCTCCATTTCTCTGAGCCTCCATATTTTGTCTTTATTTTTTATTTTTTTTAATCCTCACCCGAGGATGTTTTTCCATTTTTTGTACAGATAGAGTGGGAGGGAGAGAGAGGAAGGGAGAGAGAGAGAGAAACATCGACGTGAAGGGACACATCGAGTGGCTGCCACCCGCACGACCAACCAGGGCCGGGGACAAACTGCAACCGAAGTACGCGCCCTTAGCGGGAACCGAACCCGGGTCTCTCCGGACCGCAGGCCGACGCTTTAACCGCTGAGCCAAACTGGCCAGGGCCATATTTTGTCTTTAAAATGAAGGTGATGAGACTCCTGATATCCTGTGCCTTGCTCACCTCACAGGGACACTGTGAAACTCAAATGACCTGTGATAGCAACATGGACAGTGTTTGTGGTTAATGTTATTTTTTCTTAGTCTAAGGGCATGTCATCAAAGGATCCCTGTTTGCCTCCTCTTACGAGAACTGACACTCAACAACAAGCTGTGCTGGGGGTCCTCGGGCCATGATGGGGGTGTTATGGGGTGCCAGGACTAAGGTGACGTGTGGAGGATTGTTCTGCTGCCCTACATTCCTCCCCTCTCTCGCTCCCTCCTTCTCCTTACCCCTCTCTGACCCCGGGCCTGGCCTCAGCCCTCTGCTCTTCTTTGCCCACCCTCTCTGCTGGAGCTCATCTGCTCTCCGGGCGCCCAGCCTGTCCTCGCCCAGCTTGGCCTCTGTCCTCTGAGCTCCAGGCCCAGCTCTTCTCAGTGGCATCTGGATGGCTCCCTGTTGCCTCCAACTGCGCGTTTCCCAGCAAGGCTGTGTTCTCTCCTTGCTCCCACCCCGGCTCTCCAAACTGGCTCCTCTGCCCAACTTGCCCGTCCCTGTCTTCTAATCTGCAACCTTAGAGTTTGAGGTCGTCTTGGATGTTTCCTTTTCCAGCGAGTCATTGACTCGTGCACATATCTCCTTCAAATGTCCCCGTGTCCCTTCCTTTCCACCAGGCACAGACCTCGCTTCAGCTTCAGACGCAGGGCTGCATTGACCTCTTTGTTCTTTCCCTAGCTCCAGGTCCCTCTGTTTACCCTTTCTGTACCCCCATTTTCTCATCTGTAAAATGACATACGATAAGAATGCTGGCTAGCCAGCCGCACAGACCTGCCATAAGAATCTACTGAGAGGATGTGTCTGAATGGGCTTCAGAAGCAATAACCCCTATGCAAGCGGATGCTGTTATTACTGTACGTTCCGTGGACTCGTCACTTCCACTCTCAGCAGCCAGCGTGCTCCCAGGTGCCTGGAGCATCAAGTTCAAACTCCTCTGCTCAATCTGCTATAATTTGACCAGACCCTACTTTCCACTATTGTTACTATTACACTCATAGTCAACATTTTATTTCTTCAGCACTTGCTGTATGCCAGGCCCTGCTGTAAGACGTTTACATACCTCAACCCAGCCAACCCTCACGAAAACAATATATTATTATCATCCTGATTTTGTATATTAAGAAATATGTGCAAAAAGGTTAAGTAACTGGCCTAAGATGGGACACTGGAAGTGGCAGAGCTGGAGTGAAAACTCCCGAGGCCGTACCTTAACCACTAGGAGCCCCTGGCGTCCCGTCTGATCCATGGCTTCTCCAGGACACCCCTTTGCTCACATTTGCGATACAGGCCTTGCTGCCTCCCACCGCGCTGCCTTTGCTCAGCTGCAACCCAGAACATGGGAGAACATGCTGGAAGGCCCTTGTTTCACTAAGGTTCCATGTTGCCTTCTCTGATGGGTTCTAGGTTCTGGGTCCAGCCACATAGCCACGGTAGTGTGGGCGAAACCCACCTTCTCTGTGGGCATCTGTTTTCTCACTTGTCAGGTGGGAGGATTGGGTTCCATCTTGAAGGACAAGCCTGTGACATCAGTGTAACCACCCACAGTGCCCCCTCCATCTCTGGACTCCTACCACCCTTACTGTCAACATCAGCTGGAGCCTCTATCTGCCCTTTGCTTGGTACACATGTTTGTTTGTGTCCCCAGCTGTACTCGAGCTCCTTGAGGGTTAGAATGGTGCCCTGGCCTTCTGGGAGCTTCCCTCCCTCCCTCTTCCTTTCACCTTTCTTCTTCCTCTTCCCCATCTTTTGAGACAATCTGCTTTTCACACTGACTACCTCCCTGTTCCTCCTCCCCCTGCTTGAGGCCGGCTGCGCCCCTGGTCAGCCCTCCACCAGGCTGCAAGCTCAGTAGGAGCTGTGAAGGCGACAGACCGACTGGAGACCTGGCGGGCCTCGGGGCAGAGACCAGGTCCTCTTCATCTTTCTGGCGCCCGGCACATAGCTGGTGTGGTAAATCGAATTGACTAATTCTACTGTATTATAAAATTACAATATATATTCACCGTGATGTGCCTGTATCATCCAGAAGAGGGTATGTTATGATTCGTAATGTCTGTTGCAAGAAGGCAAGGAAGTGCACAACCTATTTGGGGAAAACTCATTTCTTAGTTTGGCAAATTAAATACACGTTTTGCACTTGAAAGGACTGGTTTCAAACTATCAGGAAAGTTTGTGTATGTGTGACGCTCCATTTCCTGACAATGGCCGGTAGTGGGTGTGGGTCTCTATATTAGTGGTTTTTGCCTACCTGTCTCTTTTTTTTTTATTCCTCACCTGAGGATATTTTTCCATTTGTCTTCAGATAGAGTGGGAGGGAGGGAGAGAGAGAGAAAGACAAAAACGTGAGAGAGACATGCCGGCTGGCTGCCTCCCACAGGTCCCCGACCAGGGCTGGGGACTGAACTGCAACCGAGGTATGTGCCTTTGACCAGAATCAAACCCGCAACTCTGGTCCGAGGGCCAATGCTCTAACTGCTGAGCAGCACCAGCCGGGCCACTTATCTATCTTTATACAGATGCATCCTTGGTTGTTTCATGTGTGTTGACTCCCCAGATGGTCCTTAGGCTTCCCATGACAGAGGTGGCAGTTTCTTAGGATCCCCTCAATGTATGAGCTTGGCATGCACAGCAGGCTCTTAGCACACGTGCACTGGCCGGCCCTGCACCCTCCTCTCTGACTCCACTGGCTGGGTCCCGTTGAGCTCTGAGTTGCCGGGGTGAGCCGCTTCTCTCATCTTCTCATTCTCCTCTTTGATCTTCACTCCCCTGTCTCTCCTCTTCCCATTTCCCGCTTCCCACGTCCGCTTTCTGTGCACAGGTGTGTGCATTCGAAGGGGTGGGTGTCTGTCCTCCTCGTTGCCTCCTGGGCCTGTCAGATTCTCTCTCTCTGAACTGCCTAGCGTGGAGCTGTTTCCTCACAAACCTCTCCACACAGGGTGGACATCCCCTGACCTCGGTGATGGGGTGACCAGCCATCCCGACTGGCCTGCAAGTGGGGGTTTTCAGTTCTGAAATCAGGACCATCCTGGTTCATAATTCTCTCTGTGGAAATGCCCCGGGGCTGCCTTTTCTATGTGGACAATCTTAAAACTAGATTGAAACTAGATTCCGTCCCCAGAATCCCCTCAGATGCTGAAGTGGAATGCAGGTAGTGGGGTGTTTTTTAAAAAAATCTGTCTGTTGATATGAGAGAGAGATAGAAAGAGAGAGAAACATTGACTCGTTGTTCCATCTATCCATGCGTTCATTGGTTGACCCTTGTATGTGCCCTGACTAGGGATGGAACCCACAACCTTGGCATATCAGGATGATGCTCTAACCAACTGAGCTACCCAGCCAGGGTGGTAGTTGTGTTATTAAAGGCTCCCTAAGTACTTCTAATGAACACCAAATCTGAGAAATTACCACCAAAGCAAAAGCATGATGTAAGGTATTGGTTTTTTATTTTTATTTATTTATTTAAAATATATTTCCATTGGTTTTTAGGGAGAGAGGAAAGGAGAGAGAGAGATGGAATCATTGATGTGAGAGACACATCGATCAGCTGCCTCCTGCACACCCCCCACTGGGGATCGTGCCCGCAACCCGGGCATGTGCCCTGACTGGGAATCGAGCTGGGACTTCTCAGTCCCTGGGACGACACTCAATCCACTGATCCACACCAGCCGGGTGTTTTGTTTTTTTGTTTTTTTAAAATTCATCCACTAAGCTTTCCACCCAGGATACTCAGTCCCTGCCCAAGCCCACGGGTGTGTTCTGGGTCACAGTGGAAGTACTCAGACAGGTCTTACATGTCATTACATCTGTGCCCACTCCAGGGCTGTGGAGGCTTCAGGAGTATGGCCCTGAGGCTCCCGCTGGCCCCTCCTGAGCTGACCTAGTCCTGGTGTCACCTTCGCTCCTGGGTGTCCATGCCTGTAGGCTCTGGCACCTTATTTTCTCCAGAAGTTTCTGGTTTCCAGCATCTCATGGCCTTACGTGACCAGAGGTGGGCTGCCCAGCCTCATGGCCCGTGGTTCTCCTCCAGGAAGCTCTCCACCTTCAACATGTACATGGAGAGCCACGGCTACGATGTGGAGCAGATATGGAGAGATATTGAGGACGTCATCATCAAGACAATCGTCTCGGCCTACCCCGTCATCAAGCACAACTACCACACCTGCTTCCCCAACCACATGCTCAATAGTGCCTGCTTTGAAGTCCTGGGCTTCGACATTTTGTTGGACCGCAAACTCAAGCCCTGGCTGCTGGAGGTAGGGAGTTTGGGGTGGGGGGTGGAAACTGGCCCCTGTTATTGGGGTCAGCCAGCTTCAGGCTCATCTCTCCGCTCTCCCAGCTCAGCTAGATCTTTTGAATCAACAAGCATGCCAGTTCCTACACGGTGCTTGCTGGCCGGGCCTGCTCCCTTAGCTGCAAAGTGGCCACCAGAGGGGGGTAGACGGCTGGGATTGGAGAATTCCTTGGGCCTTTTCAAGGTCCACCCAGACTTGGAAACTGATGATCTCAGGCACAGTGATTCTCAAGACAGATCTACCTTTGTAACAGAGTCGTCTCCCAGAAAGGGAAAAATCTTCATCACAGCTGGGGTGACGATGTTGAAGATCAGATGGGAGCTGTCAGGCCTGGCTCTCAGGGGCCTGGACCACTCAGTTCCAAGTGCTAACAGCATGGCCAGTGTCTATGGCCACAGGAATGGGTGGGAGCCACCTTGATTTTCCTGCCTCCCCCAGACCCACACGGTGGTGGGAGGAGGAGGAAGAGCTTCTGGGTGGCTGTCTGTTCTCCAGATTGGACTTGTGCTCGCAGCCCTCTCTAGTGGTTATCAGTACGCACGCGGGGGGGGGGGGGGGGGGTGCAAGTCAGAGGTGCTAGTGCCAGCTGCCAATGCCAGGGTCAGCCTTCGGAGCGGGGAAGCCAGAACTGCAGATCAGGTTCCTGGGGCCTTGTCTTTCCTCCACTCCCAGTCCTTGTTCCCAGGTGCGGGCGGGAAGGAGACTATGGCTGTTTGGAGCTCTTACCTAAAGAGCAGAATTAACTGCCAGGAGCAAGCCTGCAGAAACTGCTAGAAATCGTCAAATGTCACATAACACCTCTGAACAAGATGGGTTTTTCTGTGAGCGGGAATGTTCTCCCTTCTCTTGTCTGTCTCCTCCGCAAGCCCGGTCAGGACCTTGAATGCATCCTTTCTACTCTCTACCTCCCCACCTGGCCCTTTCCATCTGCTCTAGGCACACGAGAGGACACCGCACGCCAGATGGAGGGGAAACCAAAGATGGGGCACTCCCTGATGCCTCTCTAGAAGAAAGGGCTAAAATAAAAGCTAGTTAAACTAGAGGGGTTCCACTTCCTCCTCGCCTCGCTGTGGCTACAGCCCACGGTGGGCTTGAGTAGTTCCCGGAGGTGGCATTTTGGCCTCACTCTCTGCTTCACTCTGGACAGCCCAGCTTCCCGCTGCCGTCTCGCCCTCACAGGTCAACCACTCTCCAAGCTTTTCCACGGACTCCGGCTTGGATAAAGAGGTGAAGGACAGTCTGCTGTATGACACCTTGGTCCTGATCAACCTGGGAAGCTGTGACAAAAAGAAAGTCTTAGAGGAGGAGAGGCAACGGGGACAGTTCCTACAGCAATGTCGTTCTAGGGAGATCAGGTATAGTAGCATCCCTCGTCCCCTGGGGACCCCATTTTTTATGACTTTGCTGTCCCAGTAAGACGGGCCTGTCCTGGTTCAAGTTACAATTCAACAGCCTACTAGTTATGTGACCTTTATGTCACTTTCCTGAGCCTCAGTGTTCTTTCTGTGAAATGGACCTGATGATACATAAAGTTATCAGGGAGAATGAAATAAGGTATGTGTATAAAAGGCTTATCATAATACCTGGCACTATAATTTGTGTTTGAGACTATTAAGAATCTTACCTAGCCCTGGCCGGGTGGCTCAGTTGGTTGGAGCATTGTCCTGTACACCTGCGGGTTTGATTCCCAGTCAGGGCACTTACCGTTGAGGGTTTGATCCTGGTTGGGGCACGTACAGGAGGCAACTGATCGATGTTTCTCTCTCATATCAATGTTTCTCTTTCTCTCCCCCCTTCCCCTCTCTAAAAATCAATAAAAACATATCCTTAAGTGAGGATTTAAAATTGGATTAGACAGAAAAGAATCTTGCCTGGAGTTGGTGGGGGTGGAGTCAGCTCTTACAAATGATCATCGTACTTGGAAAATTGGTTTATATTTGTGGAATGTGGCAATTTGAATCGTTTTACTGTGAATATTTCTTTGTTCCTGTTTTAGGAGATTTAAGTTATGGACATAAATATATATAAAGGATATAAGCTTATTAATATAATTGGAAGAATCAGAGATTACCGATACAAAAAGCCAAACCATCCCTTTATTTTTACAAAAGAAAGAATTGTCTGTCCTACTGCCTGCTGCCGTGCCGGCAGGAGCTAGCGTGTCCCTGCTCCTGCTCCTGCTGGGACACACTGCCCTGCACAGGCCTTCGTCCGCACAGGAGCCGCTGAGCCCGGGCAGGGAGATGCCCGTGTCGCTCTTCCGACCCCACTGTGGCCCCTGCCCTCCTCGTGTGTGGAGTCAGCCCTGTCCTTTGAGATTAAACTTTGGAACTGGGCAAAAGCACCCATGTTTGGATGGCACTGTGTCTCTCAGAGTACTTCCATGTGTGCTGTCTTCTCTCGGGGAGGGTATAGGCAGGAGGGGTGTTGTGTGGTCCTGTTTGGGGAGCTGAGGAGACGAGACTCTGGAAGGGGAGCTGACTTGTACTGGGTCACCTTGGTGCTAAGTGGCAGGTCCGGACCCAGAGCCCAGAGGGTGTGTGGCCTGGGATGCCCAGATGCCTTCCACAGTGCCAGCTTTCTCTAACTCCTCGAGGAGGGGGCAGCGCCCGCTAGGCTGCAGCGAGGGCCCTCTCCGGGAGCCTTCTCCTCGCCTTGACTGGGCCCTGGATAGCTAGCTCAGTGGCTCTCGGTTTCCTTGCTGTAAAAGGGGCTTATCATTCCTCCCTGCCTGACCTCCACCCCACCCCCTGGGGGGCTGTGAGGAAGAATGAGATCATCACAGCTCATAAAAACTCATCCAGCTCATCCAAGAAACCCTCAGACCTAGCAAAACACAAACTGTCCTTTTCCAGAGAATGACAGGGTCGTAGGGGCTGGGACTGGGCAGGTGGCGGCAGTCTGCGTTGTCAGAATGAAGCCAAGAGGGAAATGGGTTTCCTGGTTTGATGAGCTGTAGGAAAAGATGTCGGCTGTCCCAGAAGGGCTAGACTCCTTTCCGGGAAACATTTAGGAAATACCGATTGACCCCTGTTGTGTTCAAGGCCCCCACCCGGCCCTAGAGGACATCCAGCTTGGCCACATTCCTTCCAAGCCACGTCCCAGCGCAGCCCTGTGTTCTGCTTGCCAATAGGATCAAGGAAGTCAAGGGTTTCCAGGCCTTGAGTCTAGAGAAAACGGAGAAGTATGAGAAAGAGAACTGTGGAGGGTTCCGTCTGATTTATCCCAGTCTGAATTCGGACAAGTATGAGAAGTTCTTCCAGGACAACAACTCTCTCTTCCAGAACACTGTTGCCTCCAGGGCCCGGGAACTGTACGCCCGGTAGGCAGGCGCCCTCGAGGCGGGTGGGGTATTGGGGGGATTGCGCTTGACCTGCTGGGTGACTGGCCTGGGACTGCCAAGGGGGATCTGTGAGCTTCAGGCCCCAACCTTGACGTTGCCAGGGAAACATTTGCTTCAGTCTCATAAGGACCAGGAATTGTAAGATTCCCTTGTGTGGGGTGTCGTTAAGTAGACATGTGACTGTTTCTAGAAACTCACCCCTGAGACGGGCACCCCCCCACCCCACTCCAGAATGCCCAGCCCCCCCAGAGCTGCTTCCTGGATTCACACAGGAATATACTCTAAGAGCCGGAAGGGACTCATCCCATCCACCTCATTTTATGGAAAGGAAGGCAGAGCAGAGAAGACATCATGTGGAGACGATGACAGAAGAGGGACTACAGTTCCTCTCTCCTGACGCATGTGACTACGTTATTTCCATAACATTATTGGCCAGAGAAGCCCAGGATAAAGTGGTCCAGTGTGGAGCCCCTGACTTTGGCCTCCCGCCCAGACCCTCTACAGCAGTTGCCCTGCCCGGGATCTGTCCTACTGGGAGGCGGGAGAGACAGAGGTGCGGGGGAGCGGGGTGGAGCCCCTTCCTACACGTCTCTCCTTGGGTGCTATTCCCCAGACTGGGAATGGGGAGGTTGGAGGGATGACTCTCCACCTCCTATTCTGTGATCTTCAATTGTTTGTGCAGACTGGACACGCTGGGGGAGGCGACACGGAGCTCTCTGCTCTGCCCAGTCTTGTCCACCCCTCCAGGAGAATGCCCTCATTCGAAGCCCGTCCCCAACCTGCATGACACTCCCTGTTTCTCAATGGGCAGGCAAATGATCCAGAAGCTGAGACTAAAACAGGAGAAAAAATCCTTCCAAAGGAAAGAGAAGAAGGTCGAGATGCAGGGGGAATCGGCAGGCGAGCACGCGAGAGGCAAGGGCGCGAAAAGCTGGCAACAGACACCACGGCAGAGATGCAAGGCCGCCGCCATCCACCCCTCCAAACAAGTAAACCTGGAAGGGAGGGGCGCGCCTGTGCCCAGCACTCTCCCCCGGCTGGGGCCAATTCTTGGGGGGGTGCTGAGGAGACCACTACTCAGAGCCCAGACACACTGAAGGAATGGGGCTGTGTGGAAGGCTGGGCCGCAGGAGGGGAGCCTGGAAGTCACAAGGAGCCCAGCGTCCTTCAGAGGATCCCTCCATCCAGGCAGTGAAGACGCTCACTGGTCTGTCCTTTTTGCCTCCTTCAGTAGGAGTTAGCAGCTGGGAGGGCGAGCACAATCCCCGCGTAGGGAGCGGGCTCCAGGACCACATGTCCTCATGGTCCCCAGCTCCAGTTCGGATTGTAACACTCCCTTCCAGGAGGCCACAGAGAAGAGCTTCTGGGAGGCAGGACCCTCAGGACATTACATGGGGTGACTGACCACAGCTAGGTCCGTCCAGCTTCTTCTCTGTTCAAAGTGTGGGCCAGCTCTGCCTGTGGGCCAACTGTCCTGTGATCTGAGTCTCTGGGTTCCACCTTCTCTGCCTGGCTCTCTCTATAGCCTCAGTGGAGAGATTCAGTTGATGTTTCAGTCCATCTCCTTCTGAAAGTCTCACCCAAAGGGACAGGGTTAGAGCAGGTTGTTGTTTTTTTTTCATAACTTTGTTGGGGTCATAGACCCTTTGGATAGCTGATAAAAATTATGGCATGTCTTGCCATAATGTACACAAAGACAGAGTTTTAAAACTGTAGTTGTAAGTGGTTCAAAGACCCCAATGAAACCATCCGTGAGCTCTCTAGGAGCCCCCGAACCCCAGGTTAAGAGTCCCAGATTAGCGAGACTTTGATACCAATTGCCTTCCTTCTCCTCATCTCCTTTGCACCTGCTCTTGGGTGCAGATGATTCTGCAAGTGGACAGAGCTGAGTTCCTACGAGCTGTGTGTTTGGTTTCCTCCTTTCCAATCCCTCCAGCTATTGACACTAGTGTCCTGCACACCTGACTTGCTCTTGAATGTCAGAGATGCAAAGAAAACTGAGGCAGAGATCAGCCCTCACCAGGAGGTCCCCAAGAAGAAGGATGGCCCTGCTCCCCCTGAGCATTCCTGTCCTGTACCAGACCTGAGGAATTCAGGCTTTCTCAGCTGCTCTGGGCTGGAGCTCAGTAAACCCATCTCCAGAATCAAGGAAGCCAAGTCTACCTCTGCAGTGAACATGCTCACTGGCACTGTGGTAAGTGGAGTGGTCTCCCTCCCAGAGGGCTGAGCTCGGGAGGCGGTGGCGGGAGTCTTGCTTTCTGGTCCCTTCTCTGCCCCCAACTTCCTACTGGCCCTTTGAGTGAGCCAGTTAACCTCTCTGGGCCTTGATTTCTCCACTTGTGAACCCCAAATTGTGGAATGGCATAGCTGCTAGGAGTAGAGACTGATACTTTCAGGGCTTTCAGGGTTTTTAGTAAGGCCGTCCTATGCACTCCCTCTTTTCAGGCAGGGCACCCCCTGCTGGGGAGGCTGTAACAAACTACCACAAACTTGGTGGCTTAAAACACAAATTTATTCTCTTAAGTTCTGAAGGCTAGAAGTCTGAAAACAAAGTGTCAGTAGGACCGTGCTTTATCTGAAGGCTCCCTAAGGAGGATTCTCCCTTGCTTCTTGCTAGATACGAGTGGTTGCTGACAATCTTTGGCATTCTTTGGCTTGTGGCAGCATAATTCCAATCTCCGTCTCTGTTGTCGCATAGACTTTTCCTCTTTGTTTCTCTCTGTACCGCAGGCCGACGCTCCAACCGCTGAGCCAAACCGGCCAGGGCTGTTTCGCCTCTGTATATCTTCAGATGGCTTTCTTATAAGAAATTAAATTTAGGGCTAACCCTAATCCAGTATGACCTCATTAAAAAAAGAAAAGTTTTTATTGATTTCAGAGAGAGGAAAGGAGAAGGAGAGAGAGAAACATCAATGAGAGAGAAACATTGATTAGCTGCCTCCTGCATGCCCCCTACTGAGGATTGAGCCTACAACCTGGGCATGTGCCCTGACCAGGAATCAACTGGTGACCTCCTGGTGCACGGGTTGATGTTCAGCCACTGAGCCACATAGACCGGGCAGGTATGACCTTATTTTAACTTAACTAATTTTATCTGCCAATACCCTTTCTCCAAATAAGGTCACATTCTGAGGTTGTAGGTGTATATGAATTAGAAGGAGAGGCACTCTTAAACCCAGTACACCACCTAAACAGTGTTTCTCAAACATTATTAATGTATGGACACATTTTCTTTTCTTTCTTTCTTTTTTTTAATCTTCACCTGAGGACATTTTTCCATTTTTTTGCTCAGATAGAGTGGGAGGGAGAGAGAGGAAGAGAGAGAGAGAGAAACATCGACGTGAAAGGGACACATCGAGTGGCTGCCACCCGCACGACCAACCAGGGCCAGGGACAAACTGCAACCGAGGTACGCGCCCTTAGCGGGAACTGAACCCAGGTGTCTCTGGACCGCAGGCTGATGCTCTAACCGCTGCGCCAAACCTGCCAGGGCTAGACACATTTTCAAGGAAAGAAAACTCAGATCCCCATTGTATACTTTATTTATTTTTGTTTGTTTTTATCCTCACCCGAGGACACTTTTTCCATTTTTTGCTCAGATAGAGTGGGAGGAAGAGAGAGAGAGAGAGAAACATCGACGTGAAAGGGACACATCGAGTGGCTGCCACCAACACGACCCAACCAGGGCCAGGGACAAACCACAACCGAGGTACATGCCCTTTGCGGGAACCGAACCTGGGTCTCCCTGGACCACAGGCTGATGCTCTAACCGCTGAGCCAAACTGGCCTGGGCCATTTAAATTATTTTTATAAATACATACAAGCATAAAACTAGATATAAAATATTAATACTTATAACTCCTATGCAACTACAAAGCCAAAACAAAACAAATAAGGCCAATAAAATTTGCATCAAAATATTAATTTAGCCTGGCTGGTGTAGCCCAGTAGTTAAGCATCGACTCATGCACCAAGAGGTTGAGGGTTCGATTCCCAGTCAGGGCACATGCCCAGGTTGTGGGCCAAATCCCGAGTCGAGAGTATGCAGGAGACGGCTGATCAATGTTCTCTCTCATCGATGTTTTTATCTCTCTCCTCTCCCTTCCTCTCTCTCTAAAATCAATAAAGAAAAAAAATTTTTTTTAATTAATTTAATGTGGCAATTGATTTTCTATTTTTACAGACACTAAGTTGCCACATGAATGTGATCCTGATAGTTCTAGCACAGGTTCTTTAGTGTTCATCTTAGTTAGGCCAACCAAGGGCTATGTGATGATTCTACTGTAACTACTGGAAAATTTTCAGCATCTTTGGGCCTTTGCTTGGTCCAAGTACAGTATAGATTAATGCAATGTTTTTCAAATTTCTAACAACAGCTCATAGTAGAGATCCATTTTATTTTGCAGTCAATCACATACATACAGAACTAGAAAAAAACTTCTAAAACAATGCTTAGTCATACTAAATATGGTGACTCATTTGATATTTTTTTTAATTCTGTGCTATTCTTTTAAAAATATCAGTTACAACCCACTAAATTAATTTCCTGACCTGCTAATAGGTTTACAACCCATGTTTGGATTAGCACCTTTGAGAGAGTGTGCTTTGGGCTTCATAGCACTGGATTTGACAACGATTGCTTGGATATGACACCAAAAGCAATGGCAACAAAAGTAAAAATAGATAAGTGGAGACTACATCAAACTTAGTGAACAAAGTGGAATGGGAGAAAATATTTGCAAATAGTTCATCTAATAAGGGATTAGTACACATAATATATAAAGAAGTCTTACAACTGAACAAAATAACACAATTTAAATAAGCAAAGGATTTAAGTAGATAATTCTCCAAAGTGAAATAAGCCAGTCATGAAAAGGCAAATACTGTATAATTCCACTTACATGAGGTATTTAGAGTAGTCAAACTCTTAGAAACAGAAAGTAGAGTGGTGGTTGCCAGGGGCTGCAGGAAGGTGAACAAGGGAGTTGCTAAATGGGTATAGAATTTCAATTTTGCAAGTTAAAAAGGTTCTAGAGATCTGTTGCAGAACAATGTACATATAATTAGCACTGTACTGTACAGTGAAAAATGATTAAGATGGTAAATTTTATATTACGTATTTTTTTAACCACACACATGCACAAAAGAGTAAATAGTATGCTTTGGGGATCTGGTTGCCACTGTTTGGATACTGGAGTCTCCTTTTATTATGTATGTGAATTCCATCTAGTTACTTTAATCTCCATAAACCTCAGATTCCCCATTTAAATAAATGAAGTACTTACCAGTGGATTAGTGTGAAGATTAAATAAAAGGATTCATGAAAATGCTTAGAGTGATGTCTGACACACAGGACTCAGTAAGTGTTAGCTATTATTTTAATATCACTGCTACTTCTTAAAACTGCTTTTTTCCCCCAAAGAACTGGGTTTTGATTTCATTGTTTTCTATTTTCTTATTTTGTATTTCATTGATTTCTGCTCTTTATTAGTACTTTCCTTCTGCGTGCTTTGTATTTATTTTGCTTTTTGTTTTCTAGTTTCTTAAGAGGAAAGCTTAGATTATTTATGAAAAACCTTCTTTTCTAATATAAATATTTAATGCTCTAAATTTCTCTCTAACCACCACTTTGGCTATATACTACAAATTTTGATACATTATGTTTTCATTTAGTCCAAAGTATTTTATAATTTCACTTGAGATTTCCTTAATTACCTATGAACTATTTAGAAGTGTGTTAAGTTCCAATTGTTTGGAGATTTAATTTCATATGGTCAAGAACATACTTTATATTATTTTGGTATTTTAAAATTTGTTAAAGTTTATGTTATGACTAAGGCTATGGTCTCTTTTGGCGGATGTCCCATGTGCACTTTACTTTTTTTTTCTTTATTGATTTTAGAGAGAGGGGAAGGAAGAGGGAGAGAGAGAGATAGAAACATTGATGAGAGAGAACATCAATTGGCCACCTCTTGCATGTCCCCCACTGGGGATTTGGCACACAACTTGGGCATGGCCCTGACTGGGAATTGAACTGGTGACCTCTTGGTTCATGGGTCAGCACTCAACTACTGAGCCACACTGGCCAGGTAAGAGCTTCTCTTTTTTAGTTTTCTGTCCAGAAAGCTGGGGTTTTAGTGAAGCCTGCTTTGCAGCACACTTCCTGTGACTATATCTATTTCCAGGGCCAAGTGGCAGGAAGTCACAGAGAGAGTAAGTATTAGGGAGTCATTCTACTCTCTCGGGACCACAGTTTCTTTACTTGGAAGGAACGTTTCTTCTCCTTGAGAACTTTAGTTTCCTTAGGACCTGCTGTTGATTCTGCTGCTATCATTGCATAAATTCATAACATTATCACCTTAGGATTTCATAGAGCTGAGGGCTCAAGAGAGTGGAGAAAAGAAAAGCAGGTCTTTGAGCCAAAACTCTAGGACTATTTACTTTTTATTGTCTGATGTCATTTCTTTTAGCGTGGAAAACTCCCTTTAGTATTTATTGTAATGCACCCCTATCTGTTGGTGATACATTTTCTGATTTTGTTTATTTGAAAATGCCTTTATTTAGCTTTCACTTTGAAGGATATTTTTGTTGGACCTAGAATTCTGGATTGACATTGTTTGTCTTGCAACATTTTAAAAATGTTGTTCCATTATCTTCTGGTTTTCTTTCTTTGTTTTTTAAAAATTCATAACATTGTCCCCTGTGTACAATGTGTCATTTTTTAATGGTTGCTCTCTTTATCTCTGGATTTTAGCAGTTTGATTATGATGTGTCTGGGTGCAGTTCTACTTGTATTTATCCTATTTAGGATACTAGAGCTTATTGGTTTTATAAATTGATGACTTCCACCAAATTTGAGAAGTTTATGGCCATTACTTTTCCAAATATTTTTCTGTCTTATTTTGTTTCTTTCTGTTTTACTTTCTGTCTCTGTGACTGCTCTAGATACCTCAGATAATTAGAACCATGTACTATTTGTACTTCTATGTCTGGCTTATTTTACTTAGCATAATGTTTTCAAAGTTCATTCCTGCTGTATATTTATCAGAATCTTCTTCTTTCTACAGGTTGAATAGTATTCCATTATATATATAAACCATATTTTATATATCCATTCATCTCTTGGTAGACATTTGGCTATTTTTGGCTCTTGTGAATAATGTTGCTGGGAACATTGGTGTACATAGTTTTTTTTAAAAGGAACTATCTAATAATTTATTTTGAATGTATACCTAGGAACTGAACTGCTGGTCACAGAGTATATGTAATCTTATTTTACCAAGTATTTCTAGATCGTTCACCAGAATGGCTCTCTACATTCTCATCAGCAGTGCACGAGTGTTCCCTGCATCACACCAACAGCTTTCTAATTTTTGCCAGTCTAGTAGCTGTGAAATAATATCTATTTCTCTGATTTCCAATCTTTAGTGTTTAAAATCTCTATCATATTTAAAGACCTCGAGAGGACGCTCTGTGGATATCTCCCTTCACCTTCTGCCCTAGTGTTTAACCAGTTCCTGGTTAGGAAACTATTCTAACCTAATCTTTCTTCCTGCTGATGAAATCAGCTCTTAATCTATTTAAATCAAGAATGGCGTAGCAGGGAGCCCTTTGCTTTTCACAATCTCATTTTGGATTGTTTTCTCTTCCAGCTCTTAACTTCAGTAGAAACCTCAGAATCTAGCACCCAGGTCTCAGACTCCCCAGAGTCTCTGCTGAGCATGACAACCAACTCTGAATGCAGTAGTCCAGAGAGTGTCCAGAGGGTGGCCTCCTTTCAATGCAACCAGCAGCAGATCCCCCAGGACCCCTTCCAGAAGAAAATATCGAAAATTTCTCTGCCTATAAAATCCCAGCGCTTCTTGGGGAATCTGAAAGCAAGCAGGACTTTGCTGAAGAATAACATGAAGAAGCAGCGTCTGATATCAGAGCTATTCACCAAGGTTCAACTGAAGGAGAAGTTCTCCTTGTTCCCGGCTCCTTACAACTCAAATCTGGTGTTAAATGACCAGTCACGTGAGTGCCAGCCTGTACACTGGTGTGCCAAGAGCTTAAGGAATGGAGTAACCAACAGAGCCAGTCCTAATATTTGGGGAGCTCCCAGTCTGAAGGGGGGTACATTCCCTGTCCGTAGGGTGACCCTGATGGAGACATAGACCATGTCATCAAAGAGTCTCCAGTCTTATTGGGAAGGCAAGAAAGATAAAAATAGAATGCTGTCTCTAACTACCCTCTTCAACATTCCCTGGTTCTCATTCAGTTAAGGCCCATTCAGCTAAGTCTATACCAGTTGGGGGAATTAAGTATTAAAAAACAGGGAAGAGAAACTATTTGGAGAAAAGGAAGAATGGATGATTCTGATTTGGGGTCATATTTAGGCCAGGAGACCCTAGAGGGAGGTAGCCTTTGCCAGGAATCTGCGCTGAGTCCAGTAGCACAAATTGATAATGCCAATGACTTCGCCTTTCCAGAAAACTACCCCCTGCCCCAGGAGGGCTATTTCTGCAGCCCAAGCTCTAGTGAGAAGAGGCCGCTGGACATGTCCTCCCTCTTCTTCTTGAAGACTTCTCACAGCCACGATGTTTCTCTGAGGGATCTCCTGGTGGTTGCCACTTCAGCCCGACTGGATCCGAGGCCTGGCAGAAGCCATACAGGTGCTATGAGGGCCCTGTGTATACGGGATCGGGAAGCCTACAGTCACTGCCTGATCTCTGGCCCAAAAGGATGTAAGAGGAAATAGGTAGGCCCACCCCTATTTCCTTAATGTGCCTGGTACATTGGCAAGCACTATATGTATATGTTTCTGGAATGTTGGGTAGTTAGGTAGATAGATGGATTGATAAAGATATACAGGTAAATAGACAATTAAGACTAACCTTAATCAAAATATGATGCCCTTGCAATGTATCCTCCTCTGACTGATTCGTCCCCACTTCTTTAAGAGCACTTTGCCTTAAGTCCATTTATGGCTAAAATTGAAACTGTCAATAATGCTGGTCCCAGAAGCAGAACCATGTCAACTGGGAGGGGTTGATTTCCACACCTTTCATGCTATGCCAACCTGGCCTAGGTCCAGGCCACTGCCCCCAAAGCTGGCCCTGTAATAGATTGTACTGAGGGGACCGGACAATTGGACAGTGGATACTGAGATTTGGAAACAAAGGTCTTCCAGCTTTGATTCTGCTGTGTGAAGGACCAGAGAGAGCAAGGAGCCCTCTGCGGAACTTTAGGTGGTCATAAAACTCAGGAGAACTCCGCATCATAGCATTGCACAGGGTAGGGATTTGTGCTGCTTGGCTGTCTGTAGGAGGAGGCTACACATTTTCATTGTCTCCCTCACTCCTGCCTCCTAAAGCAGACTGTGACCAGACAGTCTGACCTGGCCACCTCCTGACTGATGCTGCTGAAGGGCCGGTGAGTGACCATCAGCCCCTCGGCATACTTTGAGTGCTCATAAAAATGCAAATTCTGGGGCTCATTCCCAGAGATTCTGATTCAGTAGTTCCTAGGAGGGGAGGGGCAAGAATCTGCATTTTTAAGAAGCTCCACCAGATGATTTTGATGGTTCTCTCACCACCCTCAGAGAAAAACTGGGCTTGGTATTTCCCAGACTTCCCCGATGATATGGATCGTGTGGGGCCATTGTTCAGCCTACCATTTCCCAGGCCACACCGCTGGAAATTCTGACAGAAGAGGTTGGGCATGAGACCCTAGGAATGTTTTTTTTCATTGTTGATAGTATTACAGATGTCCCCCAATTTCTCCCCCTTTACCCTACTCCTCCCAGGGAATGTGTCTTTTGAGTAAGTCTCTCAGGTGTGGTAGTGGGGGCCATCCTACTTCTCGACCCAGGCCTGGGCAGAGCGACCAGTGACAGCCAGGTCTGACCTGTGGACCTGTTGCTGGATCAAAACTCCCCGATCCTTGTGGAGCTCAAACCCACCCCCACTATCTTTGGTTCATCATTTTTCAGTACTGGAATTTTAAGTGAAGATATGGTGGCCCTGGCTGATTTGGCTCAGCAGTTGGAGCATCGGCCTGCGGTCCAGAGAGACCCGGGTTCGGTTCCCGCTCAGGGCACGTACCTCGGTTGCAGTTTGTCCCCGGCCCTGGTTGGGTTGTGCGGGAGGCAGCCACTCGATGTGTCCCTTTCACATCTATGTTTCCTTCTCTCTCTCTCTTCCTCTCTCTCCCTCCCACTCTATCTGAACAAAAAAAAAAAAAAGGAAAAATGACCTCAGGTGAGGATAAAAAAAAAAGATATGGTGACTTATGTATTGCTATTTATGCTCCTACTGTTTAAATAAGGAGGAGTAATGTAACAGATTACAATGAAAGCTTTTATTTAATATGATTGTTAAAATGAAGTTATAATTATCAGAAATCACACAGAGAAAGGGAGAAGATAATTATATTAAAAGGGTGTGATAAAGTGCTTCCTCCATTGACCACTGAATTTGGCTCTGAACCTCTTAGAAGAAAAGGTCAAACAGCATTCTGTCTTGGTCTTTTTTGTCTTCCCAATCAGAATAGGTATTCCCTAAGGACATAGACTATGTCTATATCATCACATTGGGGTCTCCCTGAGGGTAGGGGCCTCATTTCCCACCTCCCACAGACTGGGCGCTCCCCAAAGATTAGGACTGGTTCTTGGTTATTCCATCCCCTAAGCTCTTGGCACCTCCCTGTGCAGGCTGGCACTCTCGTGACCAGTTTACTCAGCAGCAGGTTTGGGTTGTAAGCAGCCGGGAACAAGGAGAACTTCTCCCCCAGTTGAACCTTGGTGAATAGCTCTGACATCAGATGCTGTTTCTTCATGTTATTTTTCAGCACAGTCCAGCTTGGGTTCAGATTCCCCAAGAAGCTCTGAGATTTTGTAGGCAGAGAAAGTTTCTATATTTTCTCCTAAATGAGTAAAGATGAGTTTACTCATCTAGTAAATAGATAGTTCTTTAGGACGGACTTCTTTCTCTGGCTCTAATTGCTAAGAGTACTTTGTCATGTGGTCATCTGTCTATTATAGACTTTTACTCCGATAGTGGACAATGGCTGAAGGCACTGACATGTTTTTTATAAATATTCATGATGGTGCCTGGCCGGTGTGGCTCACTGGTTGAGCATTAACCCATGTACCAAGAGGTCGCCAGTTCGATTCCCAGTCTGGGCACATGCCCAGGTTGTGGGCCTGATCCCCAGTAGGGGGTGTGCAGGAGGCGGCCAGTTGATGTTCTCGCTCATCAATGTTTCTCTTTCTCCCTCTCCCTTCCTCTCTCTCTCAAATCAGTAAAGAAAAAAAAAGAAAAAAATATTAATGATGGTAATAGTTACGCTTTTTTGATAGCCTACTATATAGGTGCCAACACTTTTCTAAATATATATTTAACTTAATTCCAATCACAGTTGTGCACATTAGAAAAGAAAAAAACAGGATCAAAGAGCATAAGGCTTAACAGTCAAGAGGGTCCACAGTTTTACATGGCAGAGCAAGAATGTGAGTCAAATGTTTCTGATTTCCAAACCCCAAGCTCTCAAAGCCACACCATTTTTCTCTCAAATGGCTTTTTTAAAAAAAATCCTAACCCAAGGATATGTATTTGTTTTTTACTGAGTTTAGAGAGAAAGAGAGAGAGAGAGATTGGTCGGCTGCCTCCCGCATATGCCCCACTGGGGACTGAACCCACAACCTAGGTATGTGCCCTGACCAGGAATTGAACCAGTAACCTTTCTTTTTAAAAAAAAAAAAATTTTTTTTCTTTATTGATTTTAGAGAGAAAGGAAGGGAGAGGGAGAGAGAAATAGAAACATGAATGTGAGAGAGAAACATTGATCAGCCACCTCCTGCACACACCCCACTGGGGATCGTGCCCACAACCTGGGCATGTGTCCTGACCGGGAATTGAACCAGGATCTCTCAGTCCATGGGACGATGCTCAATCCACTGAGCCACACTGGCCAGACATTTTGGCTGCTCTTAAATGATCTATATCAAATATTTAGGGCTAGAGGGATGTGGGAAGATGAATGTTGTATAATGAATGTAGGAAAAATGAACTCCTGGTAACCGTGGGTGTGAATCATCTGAGCACCTCCTGACCCACTAGATAGGAATGATGATGATGCATTAATTGACTTAAATATTCTAGAGGCCATTTTACCATTTTAAAGGAAGATCTAAGAAAAATCTCTCTCTTTTTTTTTTTTCAGAATCAGAGTGGATCTCTGTCATTTCCCCCACTTTTTACTTTTTACTCCCAGGAAATGATCTGTCTTTTTTTTTACAGTGTCTACAATACCCAGAGGATCAACTAAAAGTTTTATTTTCTCATCTAGATTTCCGGTTCTTATAACTACCTCCCTCTCACTAGCACCACTGAGGCCAACGGCCTTGCTTTCTGTGCCGTCCCAGTCAGCTCACAGTGCTGTAGGACCACGACTTCTGGGGGTTATTGGTGCTGTCCTAGGACATACCCCAGTTGCTCCTACCAGTGTCATTCCTACGGGTCCCTCACATGACACTGTCATCCAGAACACTCCCCCAGATAGAGAAATGTGAGGAAAAGAATGTTTCAGAGAAGGATTCACAATGTTCAAGAATCCAAAGCCCTCAATCCACCAACAGGCCTGTGTCAATCGGTCTTCAACTGCAAAGAACAAAGGCAGAGAAAGGGCTGGGCATGATGGAGAACTGAGCCCCCAGTTAGGAAATAGGGGCAGTTGTAACCAGCAGGTACAGATCATCCTTCCTCGCATCCCAGCCACCTCAGTGCCCAAACATCTTGCCACCGCTCTTACCAGCCCCGCTCAATCTCGCAGGGAAGACAGAGGTGAGGCGAGAGTACCCAGCCTGCAGATGTTCCTTCCATTGACCTACAGAAAGGATGCATTTTTTCCTCATGTGTACATTAATAAAATAAATTGTCACACTCAACGCTAGGACAAGGAGCCTGATTCAGAGTCAGAATGGGAAGGGGAGGTGGGAAAGATAGTTCTTCCTCCTCAAGAAAGCCCCAAATCCACTGAAAATGTGTCAGGGACTTTGAATAATTTCTTTGGATAAATGGTCTACAATGAACCCTGCCCACCTTGCTGGGAGCCCAGAGCCTGAGGTGGTCCTTTTAGTGGGGGTGGCACTGTGGCTGCTGTGACTGCCCAGCACTGGGCTTGGCTTGACTCCAGGCCTAGGATCTCACTTTGCCAGCCAGTTTCTTCTTCTTCTTCTTCTTCTTTTTTTTTTTATCCTGACTTGAGGACATTTTTTGTATGTATCTTCAAATAGAGCAGGAGGGAGAGAGGGAGGAAGAGAGAGTGAGAAACATCGATGTGAGAGAGACACATCGAGTGGCTGCCACCCACACGAGCCCAACCAGGGCCGGGGACAAAGTGCAACCGAGGTACACGCCCTTAGCGGGAACCGAACCCGGGTCTCTCTGGACCTCAGGCCGATGCTCTAACCGCTGAGTAGAACCGGCCAGGGTAGCCAGTTTATTCTTTACCCTCTCCAGGAATGCGATCCAAGATTTTTGCTTCCCCTGCACTTCTTGAGTTCGATCCCCAGAGAAAGCTTTGGAGGGCGGAGGGGAAGAAAGGTGAGGTCTGAAGTCGAGCACCTGCTTCCCAGTGCTGACTCCGCTTTGCCTCGTGGATCCCCAGTGCAGTGAATTTCTGGCCTCAAGGGTGTCAAGGGATTCTGGGATGCCTGAAACCCACAGTACTCCGCAAGCAAAAGCCCTTAATTATCCA